GTAATTTCTCTCTCTCTCTAATTCTGCAGGTCATTGCCTGCAGACCGAGAGAGATAGCGACTAACGCTTTTTCGTAACGTATGCTTTTCCTCGTGAAATCCCTCTTGCATCCCATTTACATCGTCCTATTATTAGGAACTTCCTTCCATAAGTTGTTTTTTTTTATGGTATAAAGGGGCAAACGAGCAGACTGGTCACCCGATGGTAAGCAACTACCACCGCCCATGGACACCTGCAACTCAAAAATCACAATTGCGGTGCTGCCCTTGGAGTCCCTCTCGCTCGAGTCAGCGGGAGGGGGGATTTTGCTCTGGAAAAAATAAATAAATATAATATCTTACAACTTTGACATACATGGAATTATAGGGATTAATAGGGATATTAATAGTTGAAAAAACCAGAGATAGGATTTTAAAAATAATTTGGCTAAGGGGGTTTACGATATCAGTTCATTTTGGAAAATGTGTCTTGACGTATTAAGGGTCTGATAACCGAATTTTAAATAAAAGTTTGTTTCAAAAAATATAATAATTTATTATTTTTAATTTTATTTTATTTGTCTTAATACAAGTTGTAACAGTCTTCTTTATAGACAGCCAGTGATAAGTTTTTTTTTATGTTAGAGGGGGGCAGACGGGTCACCTTATGGAAAGTGACTATCGCTGCCCATGAACGTCTGCAACTCAGGAGTCACAAACGCGTTGCCGGCCTAAGTGTTTTTTTTGCGTTTTCACCGAGTGAATGAGATTACCTTTAAACCAAACTTACCTACAACCCCTCTAATCTTCTTCTTCTTCTTTCTGCGAAAATTGGGGAGCCTGACTGAGCCAATGCCCTTATGGCTCTTGAGTTAAAGATGTGTCCATTGGTCGCGGTAGTCACATTTTATCAGACAGTTTTGAATGAGCCATGATTTCAACTGTTGAAAAAGCCGTGTGGTGTCGTGGGACACATCCTAAACCAGGCAAGCCTGTGTTATGGTAACCCGTGGTATGGTAATTCATCCCGTGGGTGTCGTAAGAGCCGACTAAGGAAGCAAACTACGCAGGACAACAGCACTGCAAACAGAAGGAAAACTTAAAACAAACCCTATAGGTAACAACCCGTCTGGCCAGCGTGGTATAGTAGGCCAAAACCTCTTTTCTAAGGAGAGGCCTATGTCCAGCGGTGGAGTGTTATAGGCTGTTGATGATAATGGTATCCAGACTGCTGATAAACATATTTATATATTTTTAAATAATAATATAATATAATATATTCTACCACATACACACAACGCCATCTAGTCCCAAACTAAGCAAAGCTTGTACTATGGGTATTAGACAACTGATATAAATACATTTAATATACTTTTTTTTTGTAAATACATACATATTACACATAGAAACACCCAGACCAAATCAAACATCAAATGTTCATGCACACAAATGTTTGACTTGAGCGGGAATCGAACCCGCGACCTTTAGAATAGCAGTCTGTTACACAAACCACTACGCCATACAGACGTCGAAAATAAAAAATATATATAATACATACATATTTTAGATAAATTACATCCACACTCACAACAAATGACTTATGCTTATCACACGGTATTTGTCCTTGTTGGGAATTGAATCCACAACCTCCGGCTTAGCAGTCAGGGTCACTAACCACTTGACCAACAGGCCCGTTAATCTAGGGACAGTAACACAAAGTGACACTAGTCATATGAAAAAGTTGTACAATCGGCGGTCTTATCGCGTTTGGCGATCTCTTCCTGGCAACCGCTGAATGAAGAAGGAAATTAAGGATTGCAATCATCATCATCATCAACAGCCTTTAATAGTCCACTGCTGGACATAAGCCTCTCCTGAGAAAGGAGGTTTTGGCCTACTATACCACGCTGGCCAGACGGGTTGGTTAAGGGTTTGTGTCAAGTTTTCCTTCTCTCTGCAGTGCTGTTGTCCTGCTTAGTTTTTGGTTTTTGGAGTTGAAGGATTGCAAGGGGAGTGGCAATTTTATAATACGATACAAGAAACAAACTCGTATCTAATATGTTTAACCGAGCAATTTATAAATATGTACACATATATATATAATCTGAATCTCGGAAACAGCTCCAACGATTTTCATGAAAATTAGTACTCAGGGGGTTTTGGGAGCGATTAATTGTACTAGCTAGGTTTCATTATTAGAAAAGTTACAAAAAAAGAAAATACCGAGCCAAGCTCGGTCATACAGGCACTAATAATTATTTACGTAGCAAACTGAACACAATTAGACACACATATGCACTAAACAAGATACTTAAATGACAGAATATTTCATCTATAAATTTTGATCAAGGTATCTCAAAATAATAATTTGCGTATACATTTTTAAGTGAAAACAAAAAAAAAATGATTTGCTAATTAACTAAAGCTAGTTGTTTAAAGAAAAGCAGCTGTTTCTCATAAAAATGGAATAATTCAAAAACAATTGATTGCAGAGAAACAAGACTGGTCTCATTTTATTCCTCATCGAATTCTCTAAAAATCTTACGCATCATGCCTCGATCTCTGATGCGTTGTTTACCAGTTATAAAATAAAAAAGTATCATGCAATTTCTCTCTCTCGCTCTCGCTCTCTCTCTCTCTCTCTCGCTCTGCAGGCAATGAATGCAGAGCGAGAGAGATAGCGACCAACGCTTTTTCATAACGTACGCTTTTCCTCGTGAAATCCTTTTTGCCACATCGTCTCATTGTTAGGAACTTCGTTCCAAAAATTGTTGACTGGTTTTAAATGTAGATAAAGTAAATCTGAAGCGGCGATAGCCTAGTGGTTAAGGTATTAGACTATTAGACTTGCGATCAAGAAGTCATGAGTTCGAATCCTGACCAATACACTACCGACGTGAACCCACTCCTAACACAAGCAAATTAGCTTAGCGGGACGGGTTAACGGGAATACAAATAATTTCGGTTGCTAGTAGAACTTAAAAAAAGTTGAATTTTAATATCTCCTAACTTTTTTGGAATAAAGGAGAATATTGAAGGGAACGGAAGTTGTTTTACATAGGAAGCTGAAAAGCGCGCTATTTTATTTGGCCTATCACTACGCGCGGTGTTACAGTTAACCGTCAAATGTGACTTTTAAGGAGCTTTATGGTGCAGATTTCAATGCTGGCCAATCGCAGCGCCGTACGCGACCACCGTGACGATCGAGTAAATGTGAAATAAACAAACACTTGGGCATCTGCACGGCTCTGCAGAGTCAAAAGTGCGCTGGCACACTTTGAGTGCGGTAACCTAAAGGATTCAGAATTAGAGGGACGGGTGGGGTTCGGCTCCTGTAACCTCCCCCACTCGATGAAGGGAAAAAAGAAGCATAGCTGTCCCATGGTATGTCTGTGTAGTAAAATCCGATATCTTTTAATAAATTTTCGCGAAATAGTCGTCCCATGTTTCCACAACAGGCCATTTGTTGATAAACCTGAAATAAAATAACCACTTACATTAAATAAACTAAAAATCATTATTTCCACACATCTCACACATGGCATTCTAAACTCAGACAAGGCGAAACCTGTACTGTAGTAACCAGACTACTGATTAACATACTTATACAGGGTGTAAGCCCGCCGTCGTAACGAATACTGAAATAGTGTGTTCTGGCCATTCATTTTTCATTATAATTTCGGTTAAAAATGATGAAAAATGATATCACCATGAGTAAACAGAACATTTTACCGAAAACAATTCAATTAATACCGCATTTGGTCAAAAACTGCAATGTAACCGCCGACGTGTGTTAGTGTACGTAGACTTTTTGAACGGAATACAAATTTAGTTATTACTTTTGTGCGATACCAACGGGGAATGATCTTCACGCTGGACAGCTGATTGCATAAAACTTTTAATTTTCTGACAGAAGTACTAATGATGTTCGACTCGAAATGATGGTCTGAATACACTATTACAGTATTCGTTCCGACGTCCTTTACACCCCGTATATTTCTAAATACATACATATAATAGATAAATTATACCCAGACACAGAAAACATGATCATGCTCATCATATTTTTCCTGGGTGGGGATCGAACCCACGTCCTCTGGCTTAGCAGTCTGGGTCACTAATTAGACCAGCAGGCCTGTCAAATCAAGTCAATGAAATTAAGTCATAGGACCAGCGCGGACTAAAAGAAGCGCAGCGCAGAGCATTTTTTTGAGATACTCGGAAAACAATTTTAAAACTATTGCTACTTCGCCGTATTAACGGGTGAACACCCCTAAATTTTGTCCGTCCAAAATTCCGCCTCCGCCTCCGCCTCTTCTACAGTGAAACTGGAGGGGCACAGTGGATAAGAAAGCAAATGTGGCATGGTTTGCATCGGAGAGCCACGTACACAATGCGTTTGCTATACAGTGCATTCACATTGCCGAGTCTGCGCGAGCATTTTTTGTCATGTTCAAGCAAGCATTTTACTTGTTACTTTTAAAGTTTATTTTCGAGTGTTAGCCCATCGTCTAAGAGTCATGCTTCTGAACAAATGGGGCGCCTCGATAGGAGTGATACTTCCTTACAAAAAGTTATTTTTTCGTTGCTTTATACTGAGTGAGAAGTGAGGTTATTGAAGCCGAAGCTTCCCTGCCCTCTGATTCTGGAGGTGGAGTCCAAATGGGTGGCAAAGCACTAGTGAGTTGCAAGTGTCCGCGAGCGGCGGTGGTCACTCACCATAAGATTACACGTCTTTGCCATTAAAAATGAGGAGACTCTTCATCAACATTAACAGCCTTTGATAGTCCACTGCTGGACATAAGCCTCTCCTTAGAAAGGAGGGTTTGGCCTACTATACCACGCTGACCAGACGGGTTGATATAAGGTTTGTTTCAAGTTTTCCTTCTCATTACAGTGCTGTTGTCCTGCGTAGTTTGCTCCCGTAGTCGGCTCTTACTACACCCACAGATTGAATAGGGGCAGTGACACTCCGTATTCTTAATCCGTCACCACACGAACACAGAAACTCACAGAGAGTGATTACCTCTTCTGCGAAGTGGACGCATTTACAGGTCTTCCCATTTTCCTCAATAAAAACTTTTGTCTTAAATTTCTTTTTAGATGTTGTTCTTTTATAACATCTATCTCGTAACCAAATTGATCTGAAACAATTACATTATTTAATCGTGTAGTAGAAATCTGTGTCTGGTTAACGGCAATTGACCGAATTACATAATTATCATCATCATCAACAGCCTTTACTAGTCCACTGCTGGACATAGGCCTCTCCTCAGAAAGGAGATTTTGGTTTTGTTTTGTTACTTTACCAAATTGGTCAGACGGGTTGGTAGATGGTTTGTGTCCTTCTTTTTGCAGTGATTTTTTCCTGCGTAGTTTGCATTCTTAGTTTGCTCTTACCACACCCATGGGATGAATAGGGCTGGTGACATTCCGTATTCTTAATGGCTCTTAAAAAGCATGTTTGCTCTAGGTGATGGACCTAGAGCAAACATGCTTTTTAAGAGCCATCTCGATTTCGTCAGAGCCGACTTCTGTCAAGTCTTCGGTTTAGTAAGGTGTTAATGCGGAATCCTCATTTTCGGGATCAGGTCAAGATGCATGCGAGACGTAAAACCGGCCATAAAAACTTTCCACTTAAGAAAGGACTGCCGGCTTCGAAGTAACGAGTTCGCCACTTTCTGTGGTCAGCTTCGTCAGGTGGCTTCTTTCAAGAGATTTTGCAAACACTTTTGACCCCGGATTCTGCTCGATCCCTTTTTCAATCGAAAAAGTATTGGAGCACCGGAGATCACCACCTCCGTTGCTTCAATACTTGCGGCAAAGCTGACGTCATCCTTTATATTGTTGTGGTTTTCCTTTATAAAAGCTGTAGTAAATAACCACAACAACAACAGTAAATACAGTTAGATATATTCCAAGGTCTTGCCAACAGTAGTACATAGATCCGTACAGTAATAAATAAAGACAGCAGTAAATACAGTTAAAGATGTATTCCAAGGTGTCACCAGCAGTTGTACATAGATCCGTACAGCCCAACGGCTCGAGCGAGAATGACCGAATACGCTAGTCATCACACCGTCCCGTAGGGGACGCGTGGAGGCTGGATCGGGGCTTTAGCCCCCTGCCAGCGGTGAAGAAGGGCAGGTCATGAGGTGTCCTTTGACGGAGTGGGTTGTGTTGTGTGGGGGGTCGTTGCGGTCTTTAAGCCACCTCGGCGATCAGCCCGAGCCAGGTGAGACCCCAGGCGACACCTGTTACCCACGTGTTACCCCCTCCCCCCCCCCGGTTAGCCGGTGGATGATCGCTCGGCCGGAGCCGGACGACACAAAGGTATCAGCCGGTGGATGGTTGCTCGGCCGGAGCCGGGTGACACGGAGGTATCGCGGGGCAAACATGCACAGCAGATTCGGCGCTGAAAACCAACTCCGGGGAGTTGGGCTGTGGTCGACCCACAATTATATCAGCACTGCTGTACTTACTTGCCACCGCATTGGCACGTCATGGGACCGGAAAGCACGCGCGAAGGTTCCGTGCAGTGAGCAACGATCTCGGAGGCCTTCGGAAATCCTCGGAAATCTTCGTGGTAGAATACAATATTTATTTATTGCGCTATCGTACACAAACATGACAATTTACCGAGACGCTGTCACATGGATGCCCGTGGCACGCTGTAACATAAACACACACGAACATTCGCGCAAGCGCCCTGCGCTGCCCAAACGAAACATCAGGCACAGGCATACATTTTCGCCGCGCCGTAGAAAGAGAGGGGGATACTTCCTCTCCTACGCCGCGCCGGCTGTCTACTCTCCACCGTCTTACGAATTTTCGATCAGGTCACGTGTCCTGACGCGAGTTTAACATTTTTTACCCATTACAAAAAAAGTATACAACGCCGCTAAAGAAGGTTTCACTTAAAAAAAATATTTAACTTTAAGTTTTCAACAATACCTAGTTTACTGTGTCTTCTTCCGTAGGGCAGTTGCGTCTTATGAAAGGTGTCAGTCAAAGCCCCGTCTTTTCCAGGCCATTCTTCTTCGGGGATTGATTCTAGCACATGAACTAAGTGATCAATGTGGAGTTCATACTTTCGTACGAGTTCGAAGAAGAAGAAGTAATGCTCCACTCGGTCATGTTTTATACCTGGTATGTTTGCATACATCCGCTCGTGGCGGTGATCTTGTGCTTCTCTATAAATATCCAACATGCTTTTGTATTTTTCACGTATTTTACCTGAAAAATACTTTTTTTTTTTCTACGCCATCTCATCACTACGCCATCCGTGCAGTCAGGGTTATATGCATATATATTGTCCGTGTAGTGACGGATTAAGAATACGGAATGTCACTACCCCAATTCATCCAGTGGGTGTCGTAAGGTGGACACCAACACTGCGAAAAGAAGGAAAACTTGACACAAACCTTATACCTACCCGTCTGGCCAGCGTGGTATATTAGGCCTAAACCTCCTTTCTCCTTAGAAAGGAGAGGCCTATGTCTAGCAGTGGACTATTAAAGGCTGTTGATGAAGGAAATATTGGATGCTTTAGGAGAGCACTGCTGAACTGGATTGAAAATAATAATAACCTCACACAAGACCGTCTGATAACAAACTATTCAGAGCCTGTACTATGGTAACCAGGCTGCTGATAAACATACTTTTATATTTCTAAATACATACATATTAGCGTACCCTGACACAAAATAAAACTTAAAAAAACAACAACTGCTCACTGCGACTGTTCTAATAAGCCCAAACATGGTATATATTCTGTAATTTTCTGAGGAGTTGGCTAGTCCGTAGTTCGTGTTTTCCTTCTCTTTGTAGTGCTGTTGTCCTGCGTGGTTAATTTACTGAATTTTCCCTTACCAACAACTAGTCCGACATGGTATGCTACATAGCCTGAGTGATCTTGCCTCATCCGCGCGAGCTGTCTCGTCTTAAGGCGCGCATCCCTAACTAGTTCAAGCGTAATATTGGCTATGAATCTTTTTTCTGTAGTTCCCATGTTATCGTCAACACTCGTGAAACCCTCGTAGTATCTATAAGTTATGAACATGTCTCTGTTCCAGGGTAAAGTTGGGTAGTTAAAAACGCATATCCCACGGTGGACGGCTGCAATAAATCCAACACAGTAATATCTTTATCTATTGTAAAGTATAAATTAAAGTCTCCTTCTTTTTGTAGTACCAACAGAGAGAGAGTGATTCAAAAGGAAGGTTTATAACTAGCTGAGACCCGCGGTGTTACCCGCGTTTGTTGTTATAACCGCGGGCAACGCCGCGGAGCGAAGCTAGACTAAAAAAAGTAGCCTAAGTTACTCCTTATGTCATCAGCTATCTGCCAGTGAAAGTCCCGTCGAAATCGGTCCAGCCGTTCTAGAGATTACCCGGAACAAACAGACAGACAGACAGACAAAAATTGTAAAAAATGTTATTTTGGCATATGGACCGTGTAAACATACATATGCATTTATTAAAAAGCGGTTATTTTAATATTACAAACAGACACTCCAATTTTATTTATTTGTAAAGATATAAAATTCTCGTGTCACAATGTTAGTTACCATACTCCTCCGAAACGGCTTGACCGATTCTCATGAAATTTTGTGTGCACATCGGGTAGGTCTGAGAATCGGCCAACATCTATTTTTCATAGCCTTAAATGGTAAGGGTGACCCATCCCTAATTTTTTTTTGTTTTGCAATACAACGTTTGCCGGATCAGCTAGTTATAGTAGAATTTCAAATTTCCACATGGTTTTGCGCGCTTACATTGCAAACGCTGACTAATCCTAATGAGATACACAAAAACAATGTACTACGGAATGGTATATCTTAAAAAGATCTACAAAAAAGTCCGCGATGGTATATATCTATCTCCTAAGAATAACCCACAGTAACCATTTTTATCTTTCAAATATTACAAATAAATATTAGGTTATTTACGAAGCTATTTTAAACAATTCATTTTTTTTTCCCTTTATTAAACATATTTTAAGCTATTGCATAGATTCTATCGAGGGCCTTGAGCGCGGGGACCGAATCCAGAAATTCCGTAACGAAAAAAACCTCACGCTAAAAACAAAACAAAAAACAGTACCAAAATCAAATGCTGAACGTCAAAGGAAATTTCGTCAACATAATGCAGAAAAATCTTACATGGATATGTAATTTGATTTAATAATAATATTTTTTATTTATTTATTTAAAAACAAATTGTAATATATGCTTCAATAATTTTATTTAATAAAAGAAAAAAAAATGTTTTCTTATCGGTCACCACGCTCAAAAAGTGTAACTTGAATTAATATCAAAGAAAAAGAAATACTGCATAAATAAAATAAATAAATAATTATAATTGCATAAGTTGATACAAAATGCTATGCAATAGCTTTACCGCGGCAGTCCCCGAGTGCCACACGTCTTTTTTTAACCGACTTCAAAAAAAGGAGGAGGTTCTCAATTCGACTGTATTTTTTTTTTTTTTTTTTTTTGTATATTTGTTACGCGATTACTCCGGCAATTATAAACCGATTTGAATAACTCTTTCTTTATTTGGTAGGTCATACGTCAGAGGTGGTCCCATTGTCACCAGGTCAGGATCTGATGATGGGATCCTGGGGAAATCGAGGGAAACCCTCAAATTTTGTAGGCATATACACTGTTTATCAGAAATTATCTTAATCTATGTAGATTTTTGCATCTAATGGTCACCATCTGATGTTGCTGAGCTGATGATGAAGCTGATGATGAATGGTTTAGGAGTATGGGATCTCTGTAACAAAATTATGTCATACTATGTTATACCATCGAATTTGAATGTGTTTGAGTCTAATTAATAAGGACTCCGATCCTATGTGATATTCAGGGTCTGATGATGGAGACGGTAAATAGCCATGGGAACTCTGTAATAAAATAAAGCAATTCCGCCGTGTTTGTGCTCATTTGATTCGTCTCGACTAGGAGCTTCATGCTAGTCGATTTTTAACCAACATCAAAAAAGGAGGGTTTTTGATTCGACAGTATGTTTTCTTTTTAACCGACTTCCAAAACACAAAAGAGGAGGTTCTCAATTCGTCTGTATTTTTTTTTTTTATGTATGTTTGTTACGCGATTTCTTCGTCAATTGTGGACCGATTTTCAAAATTCTTTTTGTAATCGAAAGGGTATGCCAAATTGGTCCCATTACCACCAATTCAGGATCTGATAATGGGATCCTAGAGAAATCGAGTGAAACCCTCACAATTATTGGGAATTTGACAGCCCGGACAACGTGTTTTAGCTACGAGTATTTCTTTAGCCAAACAAACCATGGCAACTGTCAGAGACTGCGCGATGTGATGCGCAGAGAACTTGCAGTATTTATGTCACCACAGTAATTTTCGTTGTATTAAGAAGAAAAGGTTGAAATTTTGTATTCTATCTTGTTAAAATAATTCGGATAGACGTTTAGTTGCTATGGATGGCATCGCATTTCGTTTGTAAGTAATTTTTACTTAATTTATTAAAATAGTTCTAAAAAAAACTCTTAAATTTTGGGTGGGTCAACTAGGTTAATTTCTAACATACTAGTATTAACCCTTCTAGTTGGAACTCCTTCTATAAAATATTGAGCATATTTGTTGAGTAGTCTCACTAAAGCTTCCCTATCTTCACCTTCGAGATCAGTGTCAATTGAATCGGAAGTTATTTTGTTCGGTTGCAACTCACAAGAATTTGACTGTTTCTTGGAAAAGAATTTAAGCTGATCTTGATCAGTTTGGACGCCAATGTCATTTTCATATCCTACACTAAAAATGGTAAAATAAACCCTTTTAAAAAAAAAAAGTTGAACCGACTTCAAAAAACACCGACAAAGAGCACTAAAAATTAAAAAATAATTACAAATCTAAGTAAAAAACTATAATAAGTACCCTCAATGTAACAGGTAACATTATAATACCAATAGTCCCTTCTAGTCTGTTTGAAGTCGGTGCCAAGCTCGATGTACAATAAGTAATACTGGTCTATGTCAGCTTTATATTAGCACAATGAAAAATTAAGAATTCAAAATAATTCGAATGAAACATCGAAGATTTTGTTAATTAATAAAGACCAACCAGATCAATTACGTGCGCAAACTTATCAACTACTTATTAAAGAATTCAAAATAATAATATAATTGGAGATGTGCGTCCACTTTAGCTCGTTCATCATGTTTTGCGCAGCATGAAGACTGTTGCAGCTGCCGCGCTACATTCTACCATGCCTATCAAGCACCTATTTGGCTTGGCACCGACTTCAAACAGACTAGAAGGGACTATTGGTATTATAATGTTACCTGTTACATTGAGGGTACTTATTATAGTTTTTTACTTAGATTTGTAATTATTTTTTAATTTTTAGTGCTCTTTGTCGGTGTTTTTTGAAGTCGGTTCAACTTTTTTTTAAAAAAGGGTTTATTATGCTTAAAGTCTGCTAAACTGTAAAAACAGTTTGTCGGCAGAAGTTCTCGTTTAAGGACACATAATAATAACATAAATTTAGGTATTTTAATACAAAATTTGTTAACATTTCAAATTATTGTGTCAAGTACTCGTACACTAGTAGACTATGTTTGAAAAGTAATGAACAGGGTAATGCGGGTATTAGCTATTGGTTATGGACACAACGAGAGATATTCTTTCTGGAGTTTATTTTTAAATTGATATTTTGTCTGTACCTGTTTTACAAAATGCGAAGGCAATTCATTGAGTAGAAACGGTACCATATAACTTCTTGTTCGTTTACCGAAGTAGTTCGTGATCTTCGGAACGACAAGTTTCCTTTTTTTGGCTAAACGGGTTGGGGACATACGTTCACGTTGGATTTTGTGCTCTTTGTGTTATATTTTGTAACTTTATTATTCCTTATCCAATTAAATACTTTAAATCTGTTGTGCCTTCGATCAAAAATATTGTTGATCTAAGCGTTGTGTATTTAATGTAGATAAATTTTAATCTAAAGCATATTTTAGGAGATATAAGAGGTTTAAAATGCGGGGGAAAAGTCGCTGCTTCGCGCCGTACGTCAGTCGGTAGCTGCCGGCAGGATCGGAGCGGGCCTATTAATATTGTAGGTATATAAAGATTTCCTGTAGTATAGTCCTATACATCAAAACAATGTTGTGGTATATTTAATAGTGCCATTGTATCTATCTGTAAATTGCAAAAGAGTGGCCATGAGTTTGTTTGCCCTTTCTTCTCATAAGGCTCAACCCCTTGGAAACGGGCAGTTGTAGATCGGCACAGGCAATTCATAGATTTGTATGGGTTTGATTTTTTTTTTTAATTTTAAGGTAAAATTTATTTACTTACTATTTGACAAAATAGAGATTGTTGCTTTTGTGTGTGTTGATCTATGACTTTAGAGTCTACATAAAAGACGATTTCAAACAATTTTGAAAATTTTATGAAATAAAGAGAGTTTGAGTTTATCATAATAATAGTATAAATAATTTATCCACACTGACACCACATTAGTAGTACCTACATTGCACCCGTGCGAAGCGGAGCCGGGGCGGATCACTAGTGTAAGTATTTTATAAAGCAACTTAGCGATGGGTTTGATATATTTTCTCCTAAAGATAAAATTACATATACATTTATTTGATCTTGGAAGACCAACAGCTTTACAAATTGTTTTAATATTGTATAATTAACAGGTCTTCACAAATAGAAAACAGTTTACATATAGTAAGTGCGAGGATTTAGCATTTAAAAGCGATTATTATAAGTTTAAGAAGGGATCGAGTACAACACTTAATAAAATGAGTGTTCTGAAAAGAAGTCAAGACTGAGTTCCCGCCTCACCACCTACTGACTAGTCACAAATGTCAAGTTCTAATAGGCTTGTGTCCACTAATAACAAATTGCTATGTTTATAGCTAAGATAAAGAAATACCTTATAGTTTCAAATTATAAATGAAGGGACATAGATAAGAAATAAACAGTATATTTCTCAAAAGTTAAAGATTCTTAATATTAAAAAAAAAATTAAGTCACGTGACAGCGAACCTCAATCAGAAAGTGTTACGTCACGCCACGCAAAACATAATTGTTGTTGTTGACGTTTTCATACAACAGAGCAGGTTACTCCTTATTGTTTTTCGTTTTTAGCATATTTTCTCACCTTAATACAGTTTCAGTTGACACTGGACACAGATGTAACAGTTTGGTTTCGTAGACTGTTACGTCATTCAAGACGCCATGACACTATTCAGCGTTTTCAAGGGAAATTTAAATTGTTTGTTTTTAAATACAAAATACGTAATGTAAGTATTGCTTTTTCTTTAAAATATAAGTTTTTTGGGATAAAATAGATATTAAAGTATATAATTAACCAAGTTTTCAAATTGAGTCAATTAGCCTACTGTTTACATTTTTTGTTAATCGGGGACGACCGATTGACCAAAGCTGGTTGCAGATGTGAACACCACACCTTGCACCTACCGACTATTACTTTTTCCAAAATTTAGACAACTTTTTAATGGGTAATAAATTAAATTCCCGAGAGGCAGTACAAAATGCCTTTGAAAAATTTGTTGCCTCCCGTCCAGCTGGTTTTTACAAGAAGGGCATCAATAAACTGCCAATTGGGTGGTGACACTCCGTATTCTAAATACGTCAGCACACGGATTGGAAATTAATTTCAGATATTTCGGAACTGTTGCAAACGCCAAGAATACTGACTCACTGATTACCTGGGTTACCAGTCACTCAGTTCATCCGTAATCATTTGGGGGTCACTTAAAATGTCTAAGTTTTTATTTTTTACTAAAATTTAGTTCACACGCTGATTTAATTACTAGATCCTGCATAACATATGTGTCTTCGAGATAACTTACCGATTAAGAATATTATGACCTTAAAAATCATTGTTTAATACGAAATACGAACTTGAAAGAAACCACCAGTTTTAATAATACTTCGGTAATAACTAGAGTTTTATTTAATTGATACCATAAACTATTTTTTTCTAATTACTTTTTTTTACTACTGAAATTGTGCTCAATATGAATTTACCAGTAGATCTGAGCAAATTTATCCGAGACTCTCAAAAGGAATAAATATTCCTTGTTTTAGCAACATTTTTCTTTGATGAGCGGCTCCTATTGGTCCATCCATTTATAAATGGGCTATCCAAAACTAAAAAAACGTTCAATTTGTACCAATAGTTTTTAAGATTCACTAGACCAACTAACTAAACAATCAAACAAACTCTTTATCTCTATAATATTATAATAATAATAACTTCACACACCTCACACACGGCCGTCTGATCCCAAACTAGGCAGAGCCTGTGCAATGGTGACCAGACTGCTGATAAACATACTTTAGATTATTATTAGATTACATATTGAGTTTTGCTCGGTATTTATTTTTGGTAAATTTCTAAAAATGAAACCTAGCGAGATCGATTAATCACCCCCGAATTGCATAATAAATTTCATGAAAACCGTTGGAGTCGTTGCCGAGATTCAGATTATATATATACAAGAATATACATACATACAATAATTACTCGTTTAAAAGTATTAGATATGTTTCTTAATGGGTACATGCATATTATGACAAATTACACCTGGACATAGAACAAATGATCGTGTTCATCAAACAGTATTAATCCTGGGTGGGAATAGAACCCACGACCTCAAGGTCCACTAGACGAACAGGGTAATCTGACATAAATGAATTAAAACTTGAGCTGTTATAAAACTCACTTACAGGGTTCCGAATTTACTGAAATATCTAGATAATTTTGGAAACAGGTACAAGAGCTGCTCGCTGCTATATGAATCAATATCAAAAGCCTTTAATAGTCCACTGCTGGGTATACGCCTTTCCTTAGAAAGGAAGTTTTGGCTTACTACACCACGCTGGCCAGAATCAGCTCAGCTCAGCACAGCACAGCAGTCGCATACGATATCACTACACCATCGACGCAGTCACATAAAATTTAATTTGCGTGTGGTAACGGATTAAGAATACAGAGTGTCACCACCCGGTGACACTCATTATTCGTAATCCCTCACCAGTCATCGTCACCTGTTCATCCCGTGGGTGTGGGAGCCGACTAAGGGAAAAAATTATGCAGGACAAGAGCGCAGAAAAGAGACGGAAAACTTGACACAAACCCTATACCAACCTGTCTGGGCAGCGCATAATAGGCCAAACCCTCCTTTCTAAGAGGCCTATGTCCAGCAGTGGATCATTAAAGGCTGATGATGATGATGATGAACGTAGGCTGCTTTTGACCTTGATACCGACATACCCGCGTTCGTAGCCGCGGGCAATAGCTTATTATAGGTAGGTATCTTTTTTCCTTTATAACAATAAAAAATCCTTTTTTTTTAAATAGTTGAATTGACTTCAAACAATACTAACAACTAAGAAAACTAAAAACTTGCAGCAATCGCGTTTGATTTGCTGTCATTTTTTGAAGAGTTCCGTTGTCTGTCTCTGAAACTCATCATCAGATCTATATGAAATTTAAATGGGACCATTTAGAAATAAACTCCCTTCGAACAAAAAAATAATTTTAAAAATCTGTCTATATATGACGGAGTTATGCCCGAAAATACATAATTAAAAAAAGAAACATTCGAATTGGTAACTTCTTCATTTTTGAAGTCGGTTAAAAAATAACACAACTTTATTTTAAACATATTTAATTTATTCTTTCGGTTATATAGGGTCCATAATCTTGTCAGAAAAGAGTCGGTAGAAGATTTAATATTACGTAAGAGAACCATTCTTGCTAATGGTTCGAATCAAGTCTGTTAAATGATTGATCTGTATTCCATAATTGGCTATTTGCTCATACGCATTTATATGTTCTATCGGTTTCCATTTGTGGTAAAACTTCTTCAATGTTCCAGAAAATTCTACTATTATGTCATATTTTTCTTGTACTTCTCCCATCAGAAACCCAACTTCGAAAGCGGTTGAATTTACGTAATGCTTTCTAATGAGTTCTGCCCTTTTAACTTTGAGATCACTATCCCGTACTGTTTCGTACATAAGTCGGAATAATTTTAATCTCATGTTGCTGTCGTCGTCCCTTATTTCCTGAGGGGGGAGCACTGGGTCATCATCTGAAGGGGGAGTTATGGTGTCCTCTTGTCTCCTTAGAACTAAGGACTCCATGCCAACTCGCCTAGAAATATATATTTGTTGAGACAGTGAAACACAGAAATGTTTTTTGAAGTGTAATTTCTTTGTAATTTGAAACTCGATGAAACGAAAATGCGTCACGATAAAGAAACAAACACGAAACAAACACATAAATGTATAGGATTAAGTCGGGGAGAGAATGAGATAGAACACTTTATTTTTAATATAATATTTTGACAGTGTGAATATTTTTTATTTAATATTACCTTTTTTTTCCGTGCCGAAATCCCCTCGGATACCACCTGTCGGTGGCATGTCGGACTCGAACCGACTATAACCGCACGCCATCGCCGGGTACTAATAGTCGGGGAACCAGGTATACCCTAGAAAGGAAGTCCCTGGTGCCCCGACATACCTCGGGTCATCTACAGACGAGTAGACGACCCCCCCCGGTGGGAACCCCATGTTCCCTGTGCTCCCTGGAAGCGAGCGCGCTTCGCAACGCGCTCGCCGCCACCCCGGCCTGCTTCTGCTAGGGTGACAGATGGCCTCACCTGTCCAAAAATAGCTCCGCACGATAGCCGCAATCAGGCTATCGAGCGAGAGAACTCCCACTCCGATGGCCGCCACGAGGTCTCGCCTCTGCTCAACCCACGCCGGGCACTCTGCCATCGTGTGGAGAGCCGTGTCCACGGTCTGGCCATCGCAGTGGTGGCACTCAGGCGTTGGCTCCTTGCGGATCAGACACAGGTCATCTCCGAAACATCCCTTCCCAGTGATCACCTGCGTCAATCGGTATGAGAGGGTCCCGTGACGCCTCTCGAGCCAATCCTCCATAACGGGTCTTACCGCCGCAATGACGGCGTGCCCGTTATTTAATATTACCTGGTATCCGAACAAAGTGGAATTTGAAAAACGCTGCCTTCGTTCGGGCCAGGCAATTTATAGGGGTTTTCGGAGACAGAAAAAATTAAATAAAAAGTCTAGTGAGTTTCACTTCTGCCGTGTGTGAATGGCACACACACACTTTTTCCTTCTTCTTCTTCTAGAAGTACAGAGGAACTGAATTAAACTTATCATTTAAACTGGTATTGAGAAGACAGCTGAATAAAAAAGCAAAAGTTATGTATCAATGTGTCTGTCTATAACGTCGTATATCTTAAACTAATTGACCGATTTTGTTAAATTGTGTTTGTTAGAAAGATTACTTGATTGAGTGCAGATTCTAAAAACGATTGCATACATTCCCGAGGAGGTATGGCATTAAGCAGGACCAGTCATTAAAGTAATGAGACATAATTTTTTTAAGCGTGGAAACCCCCTCCCGGACACACGAAAGTTTGTGGTGGGGGCGGTGGGTCAAAAACGTCGAACCAAAAACTGCAGCTTAAATACAACGCCCCTACCCAAAGCCAACGAAAGAATTCCTTAACGTTGATTTTGTGTGAAACCGTAAACGTCCCTCAAATTAGAAAATGGGTAAAAATATGACAATGTCTTCGACCTGGGCCTCAATTCTGCTATTTTATGTTCACGCCAAGCCACTGTCATACCACTGACACGCTATTGAGATGCCATCGAGTGGCCATTGGCATCGGTATAAATATCGGTAGTCTACACTAACTAAACAACAACAAAAACAGCAACGATAATTCTATTTACTGTGTATTATGTCGTTGAAGTTTGCATCAATAAATATGATAAATCCATAACAACTTAATGGACCAAAATTAAAAAAACGTAATACATTTTCAAATTATAAGGAAATGATTTCTTTATTTTTCCAAATATGGCAATCTTTTTGATGTCACCACTGATGAGCCACTGCCATTCCATCACCACTGTAAAGACACTGACACTGAGTTAGTGTAGACTATCGATATTTATACCGATGCCTATGGCCACTCGATGGCATCTCAATAGCGTGTCAGTGGTATGACAGTGGCTTGGCGTGAACATAAAATAGCAGAATTGAGGCCCTGTACTGCTGCTCACCGTGACATAAAGTTATTCCTTGGTCTCTTATTCTTGTTAAGGTTTATGTCTTTTAGTAGAAGCAATTTAATACTCCAAGGGGCGTTGGACAATATTGCGTCTTTACTCATCATCCCTTTAGGGTTGTAGGAGTAGCCTTGATGTGACACTGCAACAATAAAAAGCTTATAATATTAATTGACGGGCCCGTTGATCTTCTGGCTAGTGACCCTGACTGCTAAGCCAAAGGTTATGGGTTTGATTCCCACCTAGGACAAATAATTTCATCTGTTCTGTGTGTATTTATCACTTGATACCGCTAGTAGGATGCGATTATAATAGACCGCAATGAAGACGCATTATTATTTTGTGCCCATTGTGGTGGAGACTTTAGGCAGTTGGGGGTCGGAAGCTAAAGGTTTGATTGCGGAGATTGGTCGCCGAGTTAGGGATAAAGGTGGTTACTCCCGTTCCGGCTCGTTCCTGGTACAAAGGATGTCCGTTGCAATCCAGTTTTTATTTTAGACGAGCAGACGGGTCACCTGATGGAAAGTGACCATCGCCACCCATGAACGTCTGCAACTCAGGAGTCACGTGTTGCCGGCCTTTTAGGAAGGAGTACGCTCTTTTCTTGAAGGTTTGAAGGTAGTATCGTTTTTTTCTGTTTGGATAACGTGGCGGAGTAATCATACCATAAAAAAACATAAAATAAATAATAATAAATATTTCGGACATAACGCACAACGCCATCTAGTTTCAAACTAAGCAGAGCTTGTACTATGAAAGCTAAATTGGCTGATAGAATACTTATACACTTTTTTTTGTAAATACATACATATTACTCAGTGCATACATACGTTTAGTCAGACCCAGGACTCGAACCCGAGACCTAAGCACAGCGGTCGCATACGCTACGACTGCACCGGTGCTCCTCCGGCACTCACTTGATGAGGCAGTCATGAAGTGAGTGCCCCCCCAATTCTGATGGCGGCACGCGAAAGGCCAGTAAGTAACACTTCACTCTTGATCTGCAAGTTTAAATGGCGGCGGAACTTAGTTTTCTTTAAAGGAGATTATGGATCAAAACTTACATGAGAGTATCAGAAATATTTTTAATCCAATTATACCCGCAGCCATCTTGATTAAGAAGTATCCCACTATTTTTGTTAAAATACGTAATAATAACATGTTTATTGCGAATAATAATGATTAAATTATTATTGCAGCTATTAATTCATGCTTGTTGCAATTTCAAATTACCTATTTACTTTTAATTAACAATATCCTCGGGTATATTACACAACTCTTTCAAAAACCAAACATAGCATAGCTTGTACTTCCTGATTATATGTGTATGTCATCGTGCAAGCTAAATCATTTTAAAAAAAAGTTGAACCGACTTCAACAATACTTACAAAGAACAGTTAAAACCTAACAGCAATCGCGGTTCATTTGGTGTCATTTTTTGAAGAGTTCCGTTGTCTGTCTCCGAAACTTATCATAAGATCTTTATAAAATTTAAATGGGATCATTTCGGAATAATCCCCTTTCGAACAAAAAAGAATTTTGCAAATCCGTTTATAAATGTCGGAGTTATTCCCGAACATCCATAAAAAAATAATACACCCGTATGGATAAACTCCTTCTTTTTGAAGTCGGTTAAAAATTGTAAATACCGTTAGATTATAATCTTCTAAGTTTGTAAACCGACCGATATGAACAGCCCGCTCCAACACGGAGAGATTAGCTTAGAAGGTATATAATAACTTCTTTGTATATAAAATTCTCGTGTCACAATGTTAGTTACCATACTCCTCCGAAACAGCTGGACTGATTTTTTGAAATTTTGTGTGCACATCAGGTAGGTCTGAGAATCGGCCAACATCTATTTTTCATACCCCTAAATGAAAAGGGTGACAGCTAGTCTTATATATAAAATTCTCATGTCACAATGTTAGTTACCATAATTTAGATGAATAGCTTGAGTCTCGGGAAAGGTCATAAGATAGTTTTTAACCCAGAAATAATTATCTTAGGGGTTGAAAAGGGGGTTGGAAATTTATATGATTTAGATGTAATTTAGTATGAAGATGGTTTGATTCTTGAGAATATACATGGGCTACTTTTCACGGCAATAACCGGCATACACGCAGGCGGAGTCGCGAGCAAAAGCTTGTAGTGCGTTAAATTGTAAACAGTATATGTTCCGTTCACAACCTTACGTTATTATAGTTAAACCGCCATAAGCTTGGCCCTCCTGATGGTTTGGGGGACGCGGGGCGGGGGTGCATTCAACCAATTAGCTAGTGCGTCGCTGTCCGCCGGCAGTGACTGACGTGAAAGCATGGCTGTACGTGTTATTTTTCTTAAGATTGCTACACACGGTATTATTTTGCAATATGGATAATCTGCCGACTCTGCGTCACAAAAAGATTTAAAAACTTGAAGTTCGGCTTACAGAGGTTCTACTGTTAAAGTTCTAATAAAGAATATTTATTATTTTACTTAATGTTTAAGCTATTGCATAGCTTCTATCGAGGGCCTTGAGCGCGGGGACCGAATCCAGAAATTCCGTAACGAAAAAAAACCTCACGCTAAAAACAAAACAAAAAACAGTACCAAAATCAAATGCTGAACGTCAAAGGGAATTTCGTCAACATAATGCAGAAAAATCTTAGATGGATATGTAATTTGATTTAATAATAATATTTTTTATTTATTTATCTAAAAACAAATTGTAATATATGCTTCAATATTTTTATTTAATAAAAGAAAAAAAAAATTTTTCTTATCGGTCACCACGCTCAAAAAGTGTAACTTGAATTAATATCAAAGAAAAAGAAATACTGCATAAATAAAATAAATAAATAATTATAATTGCATAAGTTGATACAAAATGCTATGCAATAGCTTTACCGCGGCAGTCCCCGAGTGCCACACGTCTTTTAAATTGTATCTGAATATAATTTACATGATGAAGATAAGGTGATTTTATTAAAATTATTTTACAGTATTAAATTTTACAATTAATCATAAAAACTTACAATACACTGACATTATAATACATGGAAATAAATTCGATTTTTATTACATCGTGTGTAGATTAAATCTCAAACAAATAAATCTGAAGGTATCGCCCCGCGTCCCGCAAACCATCAGGAGGGCCAAGCTTACGGCGGTTTAACTATATATAGTTGTTTAGATGACGCGTCACGTCAAAAGCATCATAGATACAGGGCCCTATGTCCCACGTCGTATTACGTGACCGTAGTACTTTGATTTTTTTTCATCTTTTAGTCTTACGTCATATTATTGAACGCTTATTGCCATTAAGCATATAGAATTTAGATAGGAAAATTTGGCGTAGTATATACCATTATTATTGGGTTCGATTCCCACCCAGGACAAATATTGTGTGATGAGCACGGTCATTTGTTCTGTGTCTGGGTGTAATTTATCTATAATATGTATGTATTTAGAAATATATAAGTATGTTTATCAGCGGTCTGGTTACCATAGTACAGGCTCTGCCTAGTTTGGGATCAGACGGCCGTGTGTGAGTGTGTGAGATATATTATATATTATTATTGTTATATTAACAGATAGGTAGAGAGATTGGTCAGAAGGCCAATTCTCTTAATAAAAGTCCGGCCTCAATTCAGTACATTATTTGTTATGAGTGGGAATGGAACCCACGACCTGTGGTCGAGTCAGGGTCACTGACCACCAGACCAAGACGCCCGTGAACCGGAAGAAGGTTATTATTTACAAGATTTGTCGTCATACTTCTTTATTTGGTTACAGGCAATAGGTAATGAGAGCTTGTTGAAAATAAAACAAATTTTGTAAAACAAATTATCATCTATATATATAATAATACGGTTAGGTTATTTTCGGTAACCCTTTTAATCATATATTTATTTATTTTATACTTTTTTTTTTCCACGGAAAACAAACGTAGTTGTTACTTTTGTGCGATATCTACAGGGTGTGACCTTAAACTTTGACAGCTGATTGCTTGAAACGTTTTTTTTTCAGATGATGATGATGATGTCTATAAATGACTGAGTTACGCCCGAATATACATAAAAAAATACAAACAGCCGTATTGATAACCTCCTCCTTTTTGAAGTCGGTTAAAAACAACAGGTATGGATATGTTGATTATGATGTACAAAAATCTTTACAATGACATTTCAAGATATACTGGTCACAAAACAAGATATATTCAAAACGGTCGAAGCTCCACCGCATCTCGTTAACTCTCGTTGTCTCATTAAAACGAATTCACGTTCAAAAATTTGCTCATATTTCGCCCCAGTTTAGCCAGAGGTTTACTTATTTCGATACCTTCCGTCTTGGGGTTGAAACCATTCCATTTCTTAGCCCATGCTTGGTACCTGAAATAAAATAAGTTTTTTTATACATATTTCTATACTTTTCTTTTCTTAAAAAAGACAACTCCCGCATTAGGAATATATCCTGTGTCGCGGGGGACTTTACAAACATACATGAAACGGGCACAAAGAACACGCAGACTCAGAACAACAATTTGTGGATCACACAAAGTGTCGTCCCATGTAGGGTTTGAACCCACAACACTTAGCGCAGTAGGAAGCGACGCGGCGACCGTTAAACCATTAGGTACGCCATTTGTGCAGTCAATGAAATTCAGATATGCAACGCGGAAATTGCCTGAGCACCGGTTTCATGGGAGGTCTTGGTATCTTTCTGGTCAAGCCGAGTTTAGCTGTACCTCAAGTCTCGAAGAGGTTCTCGTATGTCCTTCTTAGGATTGCAGAAGCACGGACAATACTAGATATGACCAGATGGCATAGTGGTTTGCGTAACGGACTGCTATTCCAAAGGTCGCAGGTTCGATTCCCGCTCAAGTCAAACATTTGTGTGCATGAACGTTTAATGTTTAATTTGGTCTGCTGGGTGTTTCTATGTATAATAAGTATGTATTTACAAAAAAAAAGTATATATGTATTTATATCAGTTATCTAGTACCCATAGTACAAGCTTAGCTTGGGACTAGATGGCGTTGTGTGAATATGGTACAATATATTATATATTATTATATATTAGTTAGAATAAATCCTTTTTAAAATGAAGTTAAACCGACTTCAAACAATACTAACAAAGCACTAAAAACCTAGCAGCAATCGCGGTTCATTTGCTGTCATTTTTGTTTTAAAGTTCCGTTGTCTGTCTTCGAAACTCATCATCAGATCTATATGAAATTTAAATGGGACCATTTCGGAATAAACTTATTTCGAACAAATCTTTCTTTCTTCCGTTCTTTAAAATCCGTTTATATATTATTTTGACGAAGTTGTGCCCGAACATACATAACCTCCTCCTTTTTGAAGTCGGTTAAAAATACCTGAGGCTTCTTTTATATTCTTCCTGAGCTGCGTCCGGTGTAAAGCGTAACTTAGAACGCTTAAAACCGCGGGCCATACGCCTACGTGCGAATCCACCACCATCAGCACCCAAAGAAGCCTTCATTTCTTCAATTTTCGCCAATTGTTCTGCTTCACTCAGGCTTTCCCAGTTGTCAACGTCAATATGCTCCTGTATTGCTGTATTCAAAAAGTAGTATAGTTATAATGATAAATATCAAAGAAAACTAAAGATTTACGGAAATTAAACACCTGGACCTGTCAGGACAGGTCTAGGTGTGCAAAACCGCTTCAAAGATGGTTTGATCTATTTTTCGAGTCACTTTTTTTCGAAGTTCTAAGTACCACAGCGAATCGTGTGAGGGTACAGTTAGGGGGGGGGGGGTACAGGAGCTCAGGCCGTCTGTCACGGTGGCCACGTCGCTTCTTCTGCGCTGTGTGTTTTGGGTTCGATCCGATCCCCACAACACTTTGTAAGATCCACAAATTTGTTCCAGAATGTACCGTGTTCAGGTGTTCAGGTTCAGGTGTTCAGGTGTACCCTAGAAAGGAAATCCCTGGTACCCCGACGTACCTCGGGGCATCTTCGGACCCCCTCCTGTGTAGGAACCCACATGTTCCCTTGGTGCTCAAAAAAGGGCACGCGCGGTCCGCAACGCATCTTGCCGCCACCACGGCCTCATTCTGCTAGGGTGACAGATTGCCTCACCTGTCACCCCCAGGCCTGCGCTTACGGAGGACGGAGGTCATTCTGTGACCTCCGACGCCGTTCCCGATCCTGATGGGCCGGGAGAGTTCTAAACCTCTCCCAGTCCCACTCCGCCATCTCCTTCGCAAGCATAACTTGCTCGCAGTAGGAGACGGCGGAGTTCCACGCACTCCCGCTCCGTACCATGGCTGCTCCACAAACGGCGGCCATTCTGCCAACGTGTGGAGGGCCGTGTCCACGGTTCGGCCATCGCACTGGTGGCACTCAGGCGTTGGCTTCTTGCGGATCAGACACAGGTGATCTCCGAAACAACCTTTCCACCTGCGTCAGCCGGTATGAGAGGGTTACGTGACGCTTTTGGAGCCACTCCTCTATAACGGGTCTTATCGCCGTAGTAACGGCGTGCCCGGCGCTTATTTGCCCAAGTCGTTCCTTCCACTCCTCTACGAGAACCTGGCGGAGCTGGAATTTCTGACCCTTGATTTCTCGAGTCTCAGGACTCAGACCCAACTCCTTGCGCCACCGAAACAAAGCCGCAAGAGCTCTCGCCTCCAGGTCCCACGGTGGAATTCCGGCCAGGAGACTCGCCGCCTCAAAGGAGATCGTGCGGTACCCCCTTATGACCCTGCACGTCCGTTGACAGTCCGACCGCAGCGACCGTGCTGGCCGCACTCGCTGCGGTCGTCGCAGTACCCCCGACTAGACACACAACAACCCCACAGTAGTAGACTGCACAACCCCGGAGTAGAGTCTCCTGCAGGAGTCATCGGGTCCCCTCATGTTAGGCAACAGCCTCGGCCAGACCTCGGCAATTATGTCCGAAGTCCCATCTCTGTAAAGTCCCTCGCGACACAGGATATATTCTTAGTGCGGGTGTTGTGTTGTTAAAAACCAAAAATAAAAACATGCAACTGTTATTACTCTCTATACTCGGCGGTGTCACTGCTGTTGTTTCCTCGTTCTCTTTCTCTGCCTTTTCGTTGTTTCCAATGAAATCAAAATACAATTCACTTTCTATTCTCAATTCGTTGTATTCGCCCTCTGAAAGCAAACGCAAATTTATTATTTCACTAGCTTTTGCTCGCGTCTCCGCCTGCGTGTGTGTCAGTTATCGTTGTAAAAAAGTAGCCTGTCCTTTATCAAGAATCAAACTATCTCCATAACAAATTTAACCTAAATCGGTTATTGTTTCACCATATAAACTTCCACCCAATTTCCACCCCCTTAAAGGACAATTTCTGGGATAAAAACTATCCTATGTCCTTTCCCAGATCACAAACTATCCCTATATCGTTTACTAGAGGTAACAGACAGACCGACAGACAGATAGATAGATACACATTGTCGCATTTATAATATAACTATAGATATAGAAAGAAAAAAGAAAAAAAGCATTTATTGTTAACAAAAATAGCAAAAAAATAGTAGATACATATATTTGTAATCTGTCTAACACCTTTAAAAATTCTTGTATATATGTATATGTATATATTTATCAATCAAACTAAAAACTAGAAAATAAATTTTAATAAATTTGAAAAAAAAAGCACCCAACGCTTTCTATTTTTTAGTTGTTGTATCGTGTTTTATAGTTTTTTTTTAACTATTATTATTTTTTACTTTTTTATATTTGTATGAAGAGTTTCTCTTCTGTTCGCTTAAATCGCTTAGAGCTTTATCGCTCTGCAGCTCAAACTGACTGAACCAGCGACGACGTACCCGTCTTTATATTACCTGACTAGAAAGAGACCTATCTAGAAAGTACACACTTAGTTTTTGGACACATTTTCAACGTAAACAACTCGGGGTGGCAATCTTTTTTCGGTCTTATGTGTATAGCAATAAAATTCATAGTCCTGCCCTGCGTTGTGTCTGAAGTATGGAACGCTCTGTCTTTGGAAGTCAGGATAGCACCCAGCCGCCTCTCATTTACGACCAAAGTCTGAGCTCGAATTCTAGACACTCAAGCAGATTCATAACATCCCTAAAGTTTTATTTAGTGTATTATATGTATATATATATGTATGTATGTAACACAGCTAGTATATATGTATGTGTATCTTCTGTCCATATCCCTAATTATAATTATCTCGTTACATATAAAACTTAATTTCTAGTGACATTTCCCCACTACTCAAAGTTAGACGGGAGAAATTGCCTGTGGCATTAAGTCCGCCATTGTTCATTGAATTGTTGTTTGTGCAAAAATAATTAAAGAAATTAAAAAAAATATTCACGAAGCTAACGCCTTTTCTTAAGAGGGAAGTCGATTTAATATATTTCCAACTTCTCCAATTGACTTCTGTTTAATTTTATTGCGGGTTCCAAGACTGTTTACCTTTTCCGGACACTTCCCGAGTGTCATAACTAGTCTATGGGTTATTGCTGGTGGTCCTGATGTTCATAAGTTACGGTAGTGGACGTGTGGGAGTGATTAGTAATAACAATAATATTTTCAAATATCTTACACACAACGCCATCTAGTTTCAAATTAAGCAGAACTTGTACTATGAAAGCTAGATTGACTGATAGAATACTTTCATACTTTGTTTTGTAAAATATATAGAAAACAACCAAACTCCGAAACAAGTCATACAAACATTTGGTCCGACCCGGGAATTGAAGCGGATTTCTTAGCACAGCAGTCGAATACCACTGCATCACCGTCAATCGAAATTAGTCCCATAAAAAGATTTACATAAAAACAACATACGCATGACTTGATAACCCTGTATCATTGAAATCGTTGCGTGGGTGTGTAGTCTCTCATTTGCACTTGACACGTCATAAATAAGCGGCCTGACATAAAACCTAAAATAACAAATAAAATTATCATTTTACATCACATCACTGCTGGACATAGGCCTCTATTTAGAAAGGAGGTTTATGCCTACTATACCATACTGGCCAGACGGGTTGGTATATGGTTTGTTTCAAGTTTGCCTTCTCTTTGCAGTGCTGTTGTCCTGCGTAGTTTGACCCCCTTAGTTAGCTCTTACGACACCCACTGGATGAATAAGGGTGGTGACACTCCGTATTCTTAATCCGTCACCACACGGAGTTATCGTTTGAAAGACTATTATTATCATCATCAGCCTTGAAAAGTCTTCTTCTGGACAGAGGGCGCTCCTTAGAAAGGAGGCTTTAGCCTACTAAACCACGGGTTGGAACCATGGCCTCACAGAAAAGAGAGGTTCAACATCCCTGACTTAATTCTGGAGAAGGGAGTCTCATCGCCGTATTCACGCAGTCATTTAACAAAGGGCATTAGTGTCAAGAGGGAGTTGATGAGAAATAAACTCGTACTTGGCCCACAGATGACACGTCTTCCTCGTTTGCCCTCGCAAACCTCAAAATAGGTAAACTGATGTTTTAAGAAATCAGATAAAAATATAACGAGGGTTGTGTTCTTGCAATTATTAGTACAATAATGGTACTTAGTTGACAAATATTTAAGTACCAGCTTTTGCCAGCGACTCCGCTCGCGTGTGTGTCGGTTATCGCAGTAAAAATGTTATTCGCTAATAATGTAGCTTTCCATCGGTGAAAGATTTTTTCAAATCGGTTTAATGGTTTAGGTGTGAAAGCGTAACAAACAAACCAACTCACTTTCACATCTATATCTTTACAAATAAATAAAATTGAAGTGTCTGTTTGTACAAAATAGTAGGTTTTTTCATGCTTACACGGTTATTATCACGATGCCTATACCTAAAAATTTGATAAAAAAATTTTGTCTGTCTGTTTGTGCCGGGTAATCTTCAAAACGGCTGGACCGATTTTGATGATATTTTACTACCAGCTAGCTGTCTATACAAGTATAAGCTATATAAGGAGTAACGTAGGCTATTTTTTTTCTCAGAAAAACCCTATAAAATCTTGGCCGTTCCGGGAATCGAACCCACTAAGGCAGTACTTTTTAAAGAGGTCGTGGGCACCAGGTACTTTATCTATACATCTATACAAATAAATAAAATTGGAGTGTCTGTTTGTAATATTAAAATAACCGCTTTTTACTAAATGCATATGTATGTTTACACGGTACATATGCCAAAATAACATTTTTTACAATTTTTGTCTGTCTGTCTGTCTGTTTGTTCCGGGTAATCTCTGGAACGGCTGGACCGATTTCGACGGGACTTTGACTGGCAGATAGCAGATGACATAAGGTATAACTTAGGCTACTTTTTTTAGACTAGCTTCGCCCCGCGCCCGCGCCCGCGGTTATAACAACAAACGCGGGTCTCAGCTAGTATATAAATAAATATGGATATTATGATAGAAAAAAACCCCAAGATCAATAGGTCAGTATATAAGGTGTGTGGTCACATACCTGAATATCTTCGCCATTTTGGTGAATTTCTCCACTGTACCAGCAACCATCGATCCTAACTTGTATTTAACATCAGCTTTATACTTCCTCTGGACTTTCACCAAATGTCTTTCTTTCACATACACATCTAAATGGAATGAAATAAAAAACCATCATTATTTTCCAGTCAGCCTTAACAGTCCACTGCTGTCTCAGTCTCTTTAAAAAGGAGGTTTTGGCCTACGATACCACGCTGGCCAGACGGACAACAGCATTGCAAAGAGAAGGAAAACTTGACACAAACCCTATACTAACCCGTCTGGCCAGCGTTTTATAGTAGGTTAAAACCTCCTTTCTAAGGAGAGGCCTATGTCCAGCGGTAGACTATTAAAAGTTGATGGTGATGAGTGGGTCGGCGTGATACCACAGCCTCATAGAAAACCGATGCCAATGGCCACTCGATAGCATCTCAATAGCGTGTCAGTTGTATGACAGTGGCTTGGCGTGAACATAAAATAGCAGAATTGAGGCCCAGGTAGTTGTCTACATAATCGAACCCGTAGCCTCATGAACTGCAGTCGCGTAGCTTACTACAACACTAAGGCAGCGTTTTTCAAACGAAGTCGTGGGCACCAGATTTTAGTTATAAATCTATGTCTATACAAATAAATAAAATTGGAGTGTCTGTTTGTAATATTAAAATAACCGCTTTTTACTAAATGGATATGTATGTTTACACGGTACATATGCCAAAATAACATTTTTTAAAATTTTTGTCTGTCTGTCTGTGTGTCTGTCTGTTTGTTCCGGGTAATCTCTGCAATGGCTAGACCGATTTCGACGGGACTATCACTGGCAGATAGCTGATGACATAAGGAGTTACTAAGGCTACTTTTTTTAGACTAGCTTCGCCCCGCGGCGTTGCAAGCGGTTATAACAACAAACGCGGGTAACACCGCGGGTCTCAGCTAGTAGTTAATAAAAAAGTTGATGGTTATTGTTGGTATTATTTTTACCTTTGAACGGCTGAGTCTTTCAAACAATAAATTCAAAACATACACACACGTCTGTAGACAAAGCCATATAAAACACCCAATTTCGCCAACTGCAATTTTAATTGAGGTAATTTGGCAATTAGAAGAGAAGCAAAAGAGCGTGATCAGTGGAGAAGCGTCGTCTCTGACGGCATCAAAACCCATGATAAGTCTTGCTTGGGAATGCTGGCTTCTAGGAGAATGCGCCAGCACGATTGAGGTGGGGTTTCAGGCAACCAATCCTTAACTTGTCGGCACTGAGTGCGTTACTGGGGATATCGCATTGGTCTATACAGTCATCAGAAAAAGTGCTGAAACACTCAGGACGCTGCTTCAATCATCTGATCAAGATGTTCATAAACCAATGATATTTGTAGCCGTGGTGCTTCCCTGTTTAAAAGGGTGTATGCCCATTTTACTTCATTTTGTCTCCCGCTTTGCTAAGAAATCCACTTCATTTACTGTATTTCCAACTCCTCCAATTTTCTTCTAATCAGAAGAAAGAAATTAATCAATTTCTGAGGGGGGGTTCTATTTGCGGGTTCTAAGACAGTTTAATTTCTTCCTGGGACTTCCCGAGTGTCATAACTCGGTGTGTTCGTGGGTCACTGCTGTGGATCCTGGTGTACAGGAGTTACAGCGGTGGGCGTGTGGGTGGGATTAGTCCCAAAAAAAAAAAAAACCAATGATGAATGATGATGATGAGGTGAGAAAGTTGATAAGAAGAAACGGCAAGAGAAATTGGTATGAAAGAGATATCGCTAATACGGATGGGTTTTGCATTGCGGTAACTCCGTTTTGTCTTCTAATCGAAGAAATACCAACCTTTTATAATCTCCATCGACATGTTCAATAAGTGTTGGTAGTTCTCTTGTCTGGTGAAATCCTCGTCATAAAGGGGTTCTGGCGCGATTGGTTCGTAAGTACCATATGATGGGACAGGAGTTCCTTGCCAGACTGGTTTATGATACATACTGTACTTGGCGTCAAATTCCGTGAACATGTAAAAAACGTCTGAAATTGAATGTGATAAAATCGTGATTTTTTTTCGTTCGGGGATTCCCTCGGATATCCCCAACCGTGTGTGATGGTCATGTCGGACTCGAATCGACTAAAACCGCACACCATGTCAGGGATCCAGGTGTATCCGTAAGGCAACCCAAAACCTTAATGAACGACATTAACTACGCAGGACAACAGCACTGTAAAGAGAAGAAAAACTTGAAACAAACCCTATACCAACCCGTCTGGCCAGCGTGGTATAGTAGGTCGAAACGTCCTTTCTAAGGAGACGCCTACGTCCAGCAGTGGACTAGTAATGATGATTGATGAAACAAACATCAAAAATAAGTGACGTGGGAGAGCCATGCTTCGGCACGATGTGTAACCACGGCCTCACAGAAAACCGGTCTTAAAATCAATTCTTTCGTTCCTTTTCACTATCAACCCTCCCCTTGGTACTGGGGGGAAGTACGGGAAGGACTCAAAGGACAGCTCTATCAGGTAACACGGTTTGTTCTCTACGCCTTAAAAAAAAAGTGGAAGTCCAGGAGTGCCGACAGAAGTGAAACAAATACTTGAAAATTTATTTTTTTTTGATTTTTTTTTAGTTTATTTTCGATTTGAAAAGTGCCGACATAAATGTGTGTCTATGTTGTACGTATATGCACAATATATGTTTATAATTATATTATCAATGTATTTCAACCCAAACTCAACTCTCGTTTAAACGGGGCCAATATATGTAGATACTTATATACAGAGGTGTCGGTAACGGTTACAGTGTCGCGAGTTCATGGTTTTTCCCATCTCAAAAGATTCATTATTTTATTTGATGTTCAAAAGTGCCCAACGCACCTAAAGAAGTTTCCTCTTCACAAATGCAACCGAGAATCCCTTCATATTTAGAAATCGGTAAAAAAAAATCTTCTTTTTGTACTTACACATTGTTAATATTTTTAATATCATTGTTGTAACTTATTGTTCGTCGTTGTTGTAATTGTGTTTTGTGATAGTTTCTTTCAATTAAAATTCTTGACATCATCTGTAATAATTAATAAATCTTTAATTACATTCATTTACGCACTTACGCAAAACGTGGTTCGTATGTTTTTAGGATTCCACAATAAATATACAAGTCCGTGTGGTGATGAATTAAAAGTACGGAATGTCACTACCCCTATTCATCCCGTGCGTGTCTTAAGAGACTAAAAAAAATAACTACGTAGGTAAACAGCACTGCAAAGAGAAGGAAAAGTTAAAACAAAACTTATGCCAACCCGTCTGGCCAGCGTGGTATTGTAAGCCAAAACCTCCTTTCTAAGGAGAGGCCTATGTCCAGCAGTGGACCAGTAAAGGTTGTGGATGAAGATGGTGGTCCTTATTCGCGAACGTATGTGCATAACATTAATCAGCCCCGGATCTACGACTTTTTTAAACCGGGGCAGAAACTTGATAATCACCTAAAAAACTCAGAGATAGTTCACTTGTAGTGTGGCGCCTTTTTCTTACGTGGTATAGTGGGCTAAAACCTCCTGTGGCTGTAGACTACTAAAGTCTGTTGATGAAAAGCGTTTCTGGGTGCAGCAGAATACCACTTCACCGAACCCTGCTTGTGCTGCAACTGATCTGATTCGTATTGACTGGTTGTTAACAAGAGAACTCCTTTTGACACGCTTTTATTAGCTAATAACAATAATAAATATTTATTCAATAAAAGCACATTACAAAAAACCACATAGCATTACTTAAACTAATACAATCTCATGTTCACCCGCAAGTCAACGGCGCGACAGACACTGCTCCCTAGCTAGGAATGAACAAGTGTTAGGCAGTCACAGCCGTCGCGCCGATGTCCTCAATTTATCACAAATTAATGTAGCTTAGTATGTGTGTATGTAACGGAATCTTCGAACGTGATTCGAACGTCGTATTAAATTGAAACGTCGCACACTTATCAAGGACCGATGATAATACAATAATTTGTTACAATGTGCTGATTATCCTGATCAAGATCTTCAGGATTAACCGCTTTGTTCCACACCTAAACAAACGGTGGTGTCTTTTGCTACGTGCTAAGAGGCGAGTGCTAAAGCATATGTAATTTACTTACTTGTTACTTTTTGTCTTAATGAGAACATAATCACCGTTAATATTGTTACGAGCGGGGTATATAATAAATAAAAGTTGTCGGTTAATTACTTTATTTCACTGTATTTATAAACACTCACTACTAGAAATCACTATATATCTTGTCAGTCGCACTAGAAATTCACTCCGATGTTAATTCGCTGTGTCGTAAAACAATAATGTGTCGAACGGCCAACACACGCGGAGTGTGTAGGCCGTTCGACACATTATTTTATAGCGCTTTTAAATTTTACTAGAAAGTTCCCTTGTATTCGATAGTCCGTTAGAGACAAACAAGAATGTTCCCATCCATCCATCGCCATCTAGCGCTGTAAGGATCAGAACTACTCGTATTAACCACAATCTTAATAGATGTAATTTAATCGATACTAGATGGCGCTGTCCTCCACATTTCATACAATCGAACCATTTAATACTATGGCGCAACAATAGCTAAAAAAAGCAAAAAAGAGAAACCAAAGCACCTCACGCATTTCTACGATAAAATGATTTTTCTTTTTAAACTTATAGATAATTGTTTTCAACTTTTTAGTTCGCGTTTCTTTAAATAAATCTTCTTTAATCGCTTTTCAAGATATTTTATAACAAAACAAAAGTACAGACGAAAGTTATTTTAAACCGACTTGCAAAGCACAAAGAGGAGGTTACTCTTTGTGATTTGCAAATCTGTTTAAAATAACTTTACTTTCACCAATATCTGTCAATAAAATATTTTTACAAGAATTGAGATTTTTACCATAAAATGATATTTATTTTTTAAAGGAATAGAAAATTATTTTTCCTTTTATATTCGGCAGTTTATCTGTCTATCTATCTATCTGTCTGCCTGGCTAAAACAAGTTTATTACATGATCACACTTAGCTGTTTTAAATATCAATTAATATATTTAATGTCTTGGAAAGCGCGTAAAAACACCTAGAGTGTATATAACAACTATTTTGTAAAAGTAATAAAATTCTCTTTAGTTATACCTACCAGATGGATAATTTAAAATTATTTGGAAGATGAGGCTGTCTTTAAAAATAAATGGAATTCAGGTTGAATTGTTCCTTTTTGTGTTAACAAGTAAGTCAATAGAATAATAATAAACAAAAAATATTTGTTTTAAATTTTTAAAAGATTTTTTTCCTTTTGTAATATGTATATTTAAAAATTTACCTAATCAATATGTATATTTAATGTAATAAAGAGAAAAATAAAAATTAAGCATATTAAATTATGTCAATTTTACTGTTTCATTATATTTATTGTTATTTAACCTGACCAGCTCACGGCATTTTCAAATTATATGCCTATCCTTTTTTTCTGTGCGGGAATCCCCTCGGATACCACCCATCGGTGGTGATGTCGGACTCGAACCGACCATAAACCTCACGCCGTCTCGGGTGTTGATGACCCTTTCCTGTGTGGGAATTCATGTTCTCATTGTGCTCCCGAAAAGGCTCGCGCGCTCTACTGCGGGTTTCGACGCCACCCTGGCCTGCTTCTGCTAGGGTGACAAATGGCCTCACCTATAACCCCTAGGCCTGCGCTTATGGAGGACTGTGACGATCGATCTGATCTGTGTGGCGTGACCGACTGTCATCTCATATCTAAACACCAAATTACATCGAAATCGGTCCAGTTTTAATTGATTATGATATGATCCATATAAACTTCTACCCTCCTTTATACCTCCTTAAAGGATGATTTCTTTGATAAAAACTATCCAATATCTTATCCCGGGACTCAAACTATCTCAATACCAAATTTCATCTAAATCGATTCAGCGGTTTAAAAGTAAAGATGTAACAGACACAGACAGACACTCTTTCGCGTTTATAATATTAGTATGGGTAGTACTAATAGTCCGTGTGGCGACGTATTAAGAATACGGCATGTCACCACCCCTATTTCATCCCCTGGGTGTCGTAAGAGCCGACTAAGGGAAAGAACTACGCAGGACAACAGCATTGCAAAAAGAAGGAAAACTTGACACAAACCCTTTTTTTTTTTTTTTTTTTTTTTAACGTGTGGAAATCCCCTCGGACCGTCACCCCTCCGGGGTTTGCGGCGGGGTGGTGTGTCGGACTCGGACCGACTAAAACCACACGGTGTGCCACTCTGCGCCTGTAACAGGAGGGATCCGGGAACAGCTGTTGTTAAGACATCCGGACCCCTCCTAGCGCCAGCCCGCTCCTGGTGCGGGCTCCGTCTCGATGTTTTCCTCTCTTTAGGCGACGTCCGGCACACGCGGACGCCGCCCCCTCGCGGCTGGCCAACTAATGCGGGTGGAGGGGAAACCCACCCCGTCCACCCGCGGCCACACTCAGGGCGGCATGAGGCTGTGGTAGGCGGGCCTCCGCCGCCCGGTTCGCCGGCGGCGGATCGGGTCCGAGTGGAGGTCGTCCTCCCGGGCCCTCTCCGCCGCCTCCTTCCGCGAGATTACTACCTCGCAGAAGGTTGCGACCGCGGTAAAACAACTGTCGCTACCGGCCATGGAGCGTACTACGGCCGGTAGCGAGAGATCCACTCCGATGACTGAAGTGAGGGCCCGGCGCTGCGCCGCCCATGCGGGGCAGACCGCCAGCGTGTGCTGGGCCGAGTCCTCACTGCAGTCGCAGTGGTGGCAGGCGGGACTCAGTTCCCTCCTAGCGACCGTGTGCAGGTACTTTCCGAAGCAACCGTGCCCGGAAAGCACCTGCGTCAGTCGGAAGGAAAGGGTCCCGTGCTGCCGCCCTGCCCACTCGGCGATGACCGGCTGGAGAGCCTCCACGGCGGCGAAGCCAGCGCGTGGAGTCTCCAGCCGGAACGACCAACGTGCCATCGTGGCTCGGCGAGCGGCTTCGCGCCACTCGCGCACATCCTCGGGC